ATATATATTTGTATTTATACAATATATATATATATATATATATATATATTTGTATTTATACAAATATATATATGTATATATACGTGCCTTACCGTTGTCTAAAGTGCTCTATGTAGTTAATTTTGTGTGCTACAGCAGTTCAATCTTAGTCTTTTATATTAGTGTTATAGGTTTTACATAGTGTTAACATTTAACAGCAATAGCAATGGTAAACGTTATTCTTGCATGTATGCCTATATGCATATATATGTAAGCAGATACGTATTTATACATATACATACATACTTGCATGCATATAAGTACTGTTACTAGGCTGTTCATGTTAAATATCTCTGTTAATTTTGTAAAAGTTTTAGTACTTCTGTTAACATCTGTTAAAGCATTCGACTTGTATGTTCCTTAATGTTAAAGTGTCTGTCCGTGATTGATTCGCTGTTACAATAATTACTGCTGTTAGTGCTAGCATTTGATGTTAAGCTTTCTGTTAACATCGTACTGTTAAGATTTATAAAAACGTTGCATTTGTAGATGCTGTAAATGTTAATGTTTCTGTTACTTTTGGTATTGCTGTTAGTATTGCCAAAAGTGTTTCAATATAATATAAATATATAATAATAATTATACAGCTCTATGAAGCTCTAGGCTTAGCAATGCTGTTTAACAAATAAATGCAAGTAGTTAAATAAGTTAAATCGCCGTCTGAGAGCACATCCCAAATTCAAAGATGACATGACTTTTAGCCCTGAAAGACAAACATACTTTGCATAAAGTTTATTAACATTTCATGGATGTTTTATTAAGAAAGCAGCGCACGCCAACGAGATGCTGTTACGCTAATGTCCCTAATGCCACATCAGTCTTAATACAAACACACTGCGCAAGTTTTTTATGCCCCGATGCTGTGCAGAACATAACCGAACGAAAGTTGAATACCAGATATGCATGTCTGCTCGTCTGTCTGTCTGTCTGTCTGTCTGTCTGGCTGGCTGGCTTCTTTGGCATGAGGCGAGACAAGCCAAAGCCAAGGCTGTCAAAGCGCGCCTCATCATGAGCTCTGAGCTCTGAGTGCGATTGCGAATTGCGAATTGTGAATTGCAAGTTGGCTTGGCAAGATTTATGGTATCCTTTCAACTTTAAACTGGCATTGCGCAGAGCTGACAAATGCCCCTCGCCAAGTTTGAACTCATGCACTCTCATTCTCTCTCTGTCTGTCTGTGTGTTACTAAGCCAGCTCAAGCGGGGGGGCGCTCTCTGCTCAACTCTTTTAGAGCTGCTCGGCTTGCGCTACCCTCTTTGCAGGAGGTTACAGCCAACGCGTGTGCATTGAACTGATCGTCATAAATCGCGTGCTTCAGCTGCCTCTAGCTGCTGGCTCCATCTGCTGTTTGGGGGCGTTCAAAACGCTTCGACAGTCAAGATTAATTGGCTGCGCCAGTGTTGTCATGGCGATAGAATGTGCTTAAATGCCGCTGTTATTGTATTCATTTCACTTAACAATCTTGGACTATTGATACCCTGGAGCTGGTGAGCCAAGCGAAGAGGTAACCAGAGAGGGAGAGAGAGGGAGAGAGAGAGAGAGAAGTCTAGCTGAGTAAGAGATGTAGGTTTCTGATGAATCAATTAGAGATAATGGGTTAAATCAAATGATTCCGGCAGGAGATCATGATGCTTCTAGTTCAAGTATTTTATTGTATTTAATTTACATATATATATTGTTGACGTGGCTATATCCTGATCAAGAATCTTTTTATATTTTAATTAATGGGAAGATATATCTGAAATTTGCGCAAATATCGAGTCATATCATATTATATTTAAAGAGACTTTAGTCAACAGCTATGCATAGGGTCTCTCTTAGTTCTGCAAAGCTACAACTCTTACAACTTGTTTCAAAGAAGTATACAAACTTTTGCATTTAAGTTATATCTTCAATAATCATTCCCAATTGTATGTATATTCCATCTATATATGACTTATATATATTATAATTAATGCATTTAAAAGACATCTAGAGGTCATCTACTAGTCCTTCATTCACGCTTGCAATTTATTCTATATTTTCATCACAATTTACAGGGCATCTGTTAGTCGTTCACTTGACACTCTTCTCAACTTGTTTCATTTACTAACTCTCTATTTTCTTATTGTTTTTTTTTTCTTTTTGCAGCAAAACTTTTTTGTACCTGTTCGCTAAAGGCAAACTTTAATAAGGTAAGTGTGCAAAGAGGTTCTTCAATTCCCAGTTTTCCTTTTCAGTTTTTCCGCTGGCAGTTTTCATTTGTTATAACGGCGAAATGAAAAGTTTTTTATTTTATTTATTCTTGCTCAATGTTGTTGTTGTTGCTGTTGTTGTTCTTGAAGCTTAACTTGAAACACTGAGCACGTGCCGCGTATTATGCTGCAGCCAGTGTCTCACTTTCTCTCTGCCCCTCTCTCACTCTCTCTCTCCCGTTGTCTCTGTTTTTGTATGCGTGTTGTGTTTGCTCACAAGGAAAATATTTACACTCAATGGAACATAATAAAGACATTAAAAATATATATCACATATTATGTGTGAGGCGATGGGCATCAGGATGCGATTGCAAGTGATGCCAAGTGTGTGTGTGTGTGGGTGTTTTTACACGTGTGACGATATGTATGTGTGTGTGTGTGTGTCGCTGCGTGTGACACCCGCCCACTACGTGCCAATTTTCAATGTGTGCCTAAGTGTCATACTTACCGCTCTCACGCTCTCTCTCTGTCTATCTACTTCTGCCTCTACCTCTGCCTGTCTCTTTTTCTGTTCAGCTGCTGCTGTCCTGCCCAGCGATGCGTGTGTTTTCTTCTCGCTTTTTGCAGCTTAGTCTCTCTGACTCCTTCTCCCTCATTGCTGCTCTCTGCTCTTGTAACAGTTAAAGTTTCTGTGAGCTTTACTTACCGCATACAGGTGTATATCTACTTGTGGGATTCTTAGCTGTCTGTCTGGCCGCGTGTGTGTGTGTGTGTGACAGACAGGCAAGCAAAATAGCATCGTCATAATGATTGATATGCCTGCTATGTGTAGCTGATTTCAGAATGATTGCCAGATGTCTCGCCCTCTCTCATTCACTCACTCCCACTCTCTCTCTCTCTCAGTAAATTGAATTACAAATAGCTCGCTTTGTGTGGTTTGAGCTTATGCAACAGATTATGAATTATATATATTAAAAATATATAGAAAGCTGCTGAGGTAGCTTATATAATGCATCTATTTATATAGATTTCATATATATATTTATATATGTATATATTAAACAAAAGGCAAACTTTAATTTGCGGTAATTAAACCAATTAGCATCAAGTTTATAACGGACTCGAAACTGTTTTTATTGTACATTGAAAACTTTTCCCTTTTGTCCTTGAACTAATGAACGCAACATGAAAAGACTTTTATTGCTGTCGAAATATGTGTGTCTATATATATATGTATATGTATATATGTAGGTGTATGGATATCACTTATTTAAACCGATTCACGTTCAAGAGCTATCAATGAGTATTGCATGATGAAACAATTTTTGGCTGGCAGAAAACCGTTAAAGGACATCACTTATCCGCGTGTCCAAATCAATTAATGTCCTCCAGCTCAATAAACATCAACCGTGTGTGTGTGGGTGTGTGTGGCATCCATTTCAATTATAATTTGTGGCATGAGTGTGTCTCTGTGTGTGTGTGTGTGTGGGCAGCATAAACCTTTTTTAGTGCAGCGTGTGTCCTTGCCAAGGCATTTGCATGGCATATTTGTCAGAGAACTTTTATTTGCCATTTGTGCGCTGTCACCTGGGCCAATGGCAGCAAAAATGGGTTGAAAGTGTGGCCAATAAACTGGGCTTAAATGTGGCTAAATGTGGAAACAAGTGGCACTAGCATTGAAACTACCTATCAGCATTTACGCCATGGATTTAGATAGATATCTCCACGTAATTCTCTGGAGCAGTTCAATTTTGTTTGCTGTTAACTAATTCAGTTGCAGCTGGAACAATGGGACAGAATAATAGAGTAGGTTGTGTGTCTGTGTGTGTGTGTGACACGCTTACCTTACCTGTCAGGGCCACGTTTTCTGGCCACTTTAACAGCAGCCATGGCAGCAGCAGTCGCCGATGCCGACGCCGATGCCGATGCCGACGCTGACGCCGACGCCAACGCTGCTCATCATTGATGCAAACAGTGAAATGCTTTCACCGCCCGCTCAGCTGACGCGGGCACCAGCACCGCCCAGCCTCCTCCCCCACTGACTGTCGCTCACACACACACACACACACACGTGTTAACGTTGCCTTATTGAAGCTGACAGGCTGTCATTGCCTCTTGTTGCTCTGCGGCAGCGGCTGCCCGTGTTGCCTGTGCTGCGCTCCTCTGCGTGGGCGGGCAACAGCACAAAAGCATTGAGCAAAATTGATTAGATTAGGCAACTCCGGCAAGCGAAACAAACCATGGAGTATTTATGCCACAGGAGCTAACGAGGGGAGCGAGCACTTGAGAGAGAGGGAGAAGGAGAGGGAGAGGGAGGGCTGGAGGGTGGAGAATCGGTGGCACTTTGGAGTGTGCCTCCTTGTTGCACGTTTAGCAACGCTTCAGTTGACAACGAAGACACAACATTTTTGTTTGTTGTCTAAGAAAATATAATTTCTATGTGGCTTTTTCATGCCATCGATATGGAGATTGAACTGGGGTCTGTAATGGGGTATAATGAGCCGAGGGTAACGCGTGTCACAGTAATGGGTAATCAGAATAAGGCATAAAGGTTGATTAGAAGATCAAGCTGTGGCTGTTGGAGTTTGCTAGAGATGGAAAATAAGTAGGAGATATACATATAAGATGAGATGACTGATTATAGAACTTGAGATCTAGAAGAAAAGAGAGAATATTAAGACATTTTCTTTAATAAGAGATGAACGAAGAAAACATGAAGAGAGAACTAGAGATTCAGAGAAAGCCAGAGAAGTACAGAGAGAAACATAAAAGCAGAGAGAAAACGAAAGGAATGTAGAGAAAGATAAATGGATAGCGATAGAAAGAGAGCTTCAACAGATATAGGAATAGAAAGAGATATAGGTATAAAGATAGAAATGGAGAGTCATAGAGGGAAAAAGATAGAAAGAGAGAGAGAGAGAGTGAGAGAGAGAGAGAGCGCAAGATCTCTCCATCTTGCTTGAATAGAAATATATCTATCTTATATAGCCACGGTAAATCAATTACCTATATAATGCAAACTTCATAAAGAAACTTAAGAAAAAGTATTCAACAAGAAAACACATATTCCATTCTATAAATACTTACAGGATGACTGCTAGTCGAGCATGATGCTTACCTGTTATTTGGCTTTTATTTTATATGCCTGTAGGCATTGTCCTTAAACCAGCTTCTAATCACATTTAAATTGCACTCAAAGCGTGCACACGCTCACAAACACAAACACCCTTGCACACCCTCTCAAACACCCTCTGAGTCGCACTGTGAGAACGCCCCCGTTCATATTTGTGATGAAACGATTGAGAGTTTAAGCGCCTTTTAAGACATGCGATTGAAATGTAATTAGGCAATGCTAATGCTTCGATCCTTTTGGGGGTTGTTGTATCATCTTCAATCAGCAGCATCCGAGCTTTTTATTCAATTTGACACAGAGGCCAAAGTAATTACGGGCCTAATTGCTTTTGTCGCTGCTTCTTCATTTGCACTGCATGGGCGCAAGTTGGTCAAATGGAATTGAAATTGCCCAGCGTATTGAGATATATTGACATTAAGCCAGGTCTTATTGTATTATTATGGAAATTGTAAAGAATCTGTCAAAGGAGACCGTACGGCAAAAAAGGTTTTTGCCAACAAATCAAGGCGAGAGCGGTGAAATGTCTTTCTAATAACGCAATTCTAGGAAGAAAATATGCAAATAAATTTTCATTAAAAGAAAAGTTTATTAAGCAGGATATGGCAATTTTTAAAGGCTTTTGATAGGCGAGAAGGTAGGAGATAAAAGTTAAAAATAGATTTAAATAGATGATGATGGTAAATAGTAGATGCTTGATGATAGATGAAAGATGTTAGCTGTATGATAGATTATAGACAGTATAGATCCCAGGGTATAGATGATTGAAGAAAACAGAGAAAATGGATGACATAAAAGATGATGAGAGATGAACGATGGTTAAATTATAAGTTAGAGGATCGTAGATCAGAAATGTCTTATATCATATATCATTCTTGAACTTCTAGTGCTTTATAGATTGAATATAAATAGCAACAAAATAGGCAGTCTGATATTTTCTGGAAGTTATGTTAATATGCCTTATCAGCAATTAAGACTTTTTGAAAGGAAATCTCGTGCACTTTAATTTACATGCAAAGCAATACATCATCATTATTATTATGGCAAACATCATCATCGGCATCAGCTTAATTTTCGTGTTGTTCAACTGCACTTGAGAGTAATGCGATTTGAATGAAATTTCGATGTGAAACTACCTACGCAGCGTTTACAACAACAACAACAACAACAAACGTGAAGAACTTCACGTGGCTTCGGCAACTAGCGCTGATAATTTGTTGTTGTTGTTAGTCTTGGTTGGGGTGCGCCTCTGCGTGGTGGCTAAAGGCAATAACAAACACACACACACAACGAGAATCGTTTGCAGCCGCGCTTAGCGCGCAGGATGAATTTGTTGGAATACTGTGGAAAAGCGCTTAAGTGCCTGATGCCGCTGCCGATGTCGATGCCAGGGGCCGTAGCATTTAAAGTCGGACTCAACACATTGCCACTGAGTGCGCATGTGTCGCCGCATGTTGCACATGTGTGTGCAGCTAAACGTTACGGCGAACTGCCTCTGGACATGGACATGGCCTCAGCAAAGGGACGCAGAACGGGACGGATGGACGGACGGACGGACGGACGGACGTTGCGCGAAATGCATCCAACGGCGTTTATTGAATCTAACAGAGGAAGATGAAGATGAAGAAGGCGAAGGCGAAGGCAAAGACGAAGGCTGAGGCGACTCTGGCAGTTGTCGCCAGCCACTGATGGCAGGGTGTTAAAAGTCACAAGGACACACGCACATGCAAACGCATGTGGCTGCTGCTGCTGCGGCGACGGCGGCGGCGACGGCGGCGGCTGCTGTTGCAGATGCCGCAAATGCAACCGACACTGCCTCGAGGTCAAATGCAACATTTGCATTGCTGCCGCTACTCTTACTGCTGCTGCT